TCTACTAAAAAATACAAAAAACTAGCCGGGCGAGGTGGCGGGCGCCTGTAGTCCCAGCTACTTGGGAAGCTGAGGCAGGAGAATGGCGTAAACCCAGGAGGCGGAGCTTGCAGTGAGCTGAGATCCGGCCACTGCACTCCAGCCTGGGCAACAGAGCAAGATTCCGTCTCAAAAAAAAAAAAAAATGAGTAAGAGAGAGTCCCATGGGATATTCCTACAGTTCCCAGATGCACAGTGGGAAAGACCCCATGTTGACCAACCCCAAGGGCCTGAAAACCCCGGTCTTCAAGGAGAGTGGAGGATACCTGGACCCTGCCCAGACCGCTGGATGGGCTGTGCCAAGAGACCCAGCAAGGGAAGGGATTTCCTCCTGCCTCAGGTTCTCTGTTGTTCTGTGTTTAGACGACCTGAACCCAACTCCCCCCCCAGGCACTGCAGATAGGGCTTTTCCAAGGGCTGGGGATGTTGCTGTCCTAAGGACAGCTGAGCAAGGGGGTTGAGGAGGAGCTTGGGTGGTGGAGGAGAGGAAACCGGGTAAGATGCGTGAAGCAGTCAGTCATACCAGGCCCAGAGAGGACCCGCTGGGACATAAGAGCCTGCATGTGAAGCCAGGCCTTGGGCCACCTTGTTCCTCAAAGGAGTGCCTACTTCCATGGGGTCTTCAAAGGGACTGTGGAAAGAGAGGCCTTCAGCCCACATCTCTGAATGCTTTTCCACCACAGCATGCCCTGTGGCCTTTATCCTGCTGGTGTGGAACAGTCAGACCCCTGCAGGGCTGCAGAGCCTCTGTACCGGGCGGCATCCCAGCCTGAGTGCCAGAGCTCAGTGGGCAGGCCCCCAAGCAAGTAGAGAGGAGGCCACCTTTTGGACAGAATGTGTGGGACGAGAGCAACGGCTCATCCATTCAGGTTCCTCACAAAATGAGAGTCAGGAAGATCAGGGCGCAGACCTGATTTTCCACTCAGGGCTGAAAGCAGACAAACCGAGGGAGAGCAGCACCTGGGCCAATGAGGTAGAAGACAGAAGACTACAGGTACTCCTGCCCTCAACCTCAGCCCCTCCCACCCACATCCTCCACGCCCCTGACCACCTTCCTCAGAAGTGTAATAGGAATCCAGATTCCCCCTGTCCTGGTTGCTGCGGGAGGTACAGTGGCCTGATGGAGCCCGAGGCAGGTGTGGCAAGGTGTGGATTGTCTAACTGGAGGTTGGGAGTCCCGGGTGCAGAAGGAGAAACTTGGAGTGCAGGATTTGGTGGTATGTGTGTGGCAGTAGGCGAAAGAGACAACTAAGCCACTTGAAATACCTTGAGAATTCAAATTTAGAAAATTCCAGGGGAAGTACGCATGCAGGCATTCATGAGATCCAGAAAACAGCTGCTGCATAACTGCACGTTGCAAGCAAGCCCTAAATTGCTGATTTTTAAACACCCTGATGCGTTCACAAAGACAATTTCTGAATAGTCTTAAGAGCAGAGGTGCACTAAAGCCACTGAGCCCTGCAGCCCAGTATCCCAGTAAGTTCTTTAAGGACCATTTATGGAAGATTTTTGGAGTTGTCCTTGGTAACCCCCAAGAATGTTTTGATTAGGAGTAGAATTTTAGATGTCATCAATTTAAAAATTAAAACTAAAACTCTGGAACTCATAGAGAGAGAAAATTAAGAGAATACATTCACTATCCTGAGTAGAAAGATTTCTTATAGAACATAAGAGGCTTTAAAAATAAAGGAAAAAAATGGCAACATTTCATCAAATTAAATGCTTTGAGAAGTAAAATTAAAATCCGAAGCCACCCAACCAACTGGACAGATCCCTTCTTGGCCAGGGAGACCCCAGGGAAGTCTTAAATACTAAGTTCCTGGCCTGTATTGGGAAGCTCAGACCCCTGTCCTTATACTCTCTCCCTTTGGTTTAGACACAACTGACCAGCATTATTGTTAAAATAGAGGTCATAAGACTGACAGAACAGACTCCTTACAGTAGTAAGATACCACATTATAAACAAGACCTAAGGCCATGCCAGGCAAGGTTAAGTCATGCACCCCTCAAACTATGTTCTAATTGCCACAGGGTTTTTTTTTCTTCCTTTTTTTTCCTCTACCTAGACAAGCACAGGCCTTCAGATAAGCAATGCTGAAGCACTTGCAGCTCACCCATTACCATAAACTGACTGAGCCCTCCCTACACAAGCCATCACTACAGCTTTGATTGGACAAGACACTGATTTCAGTAACTTTCTCTTGATGGGAGACCACTGGCTGTGGACTGGTTCTGGGCAGTGCACAGAGGCTGTGCTCTTCATTGTCTTTGTGTTCCTGCTTCACTTTTTGAAGCACAGGACCTTATTATAATGTACTTAAATGTTGTCTCCACCCCAAAGTGAACAGGGGTTGCATGTAACAGTCATGTTTACTCAGCATGCATGCATGTTGATGGGGTCTGGCTCTGTCGCCCAGGCTGGAGTGCAGTAGCGCGATCTTGGCTCAGTGAACCTCCGCCTCCTGGGTTCAAACGATTCTCCTGTTTCAACCTCCCAAGTAGCTGAAATAGCAGGTGCATGCCACTACGTTCGGCTAATTTTTGTATTTTTAGTAAAGACGGGATTACTGCATTTAGCCAGGCTGGTCTTGAATTCTTGACCTCAAGAGATCCATTCGCCTGGGCCTCACGAAGTGTTGTGATTACAGGCCTGAGCCACCGTGCCCGGCCAAATTTCAGGCCAACACCTGTTGACACACATTACCCCACACACACACACACACACACACACACACACACACACACACACACACGGAATCCCTCGCGGAAAACCGATGGGCCCACAAAACACGCGGAGGCCGCAGTGGCTAACGATGTTAGCAAATTCGGCTCACGGTATCTGGCGTACAGCCCTGAGGGTCCTCTGAGGTGACTGCCACGCCCGCAGCTTCTCTCCTTCCAGGAGCTTCTCCATAGTGGCTCGGTGGTAAGCCCCAGGTCCAGCATGCGATGGAACCTAATGGTTCTTTGTGTTTGCAGGGATCTTCATAGGGAATAGATGAAAGTAACAGGTACCAATATCAAAACTGCAGTGACTCACCAGAAACCGTTTGTGCTTTCCCCAGTTGCTGAGTGGTTTTTTTGAGTCCAACAGACTCTTGCACTGGCCAGGAATTGAACCCGGGTCTCCCGCGTGGGAGGCCAGAATTCTACCACTGAACCACCAGTGCCTCTCTTTAGGCACTAACTGGAGGATAAATGAAAAGAGTATCCACAAAGACTTAGCAACTGTTCCAAGCGGCTTTTTCTAGAGGCAACTAAAAGCTAACAAAGACATCCAAACCAAATGTTTTTATAGGAAACTTTTACTAGACAAAGTTATAAATATCACAGTAGTTCATCTGTCAGATCAAACTCATCACTCTGAACAAGGTCTTTTTACCTGCATTACAAACTCCTACAATCAAACATCAGAAATTCATTCATATTTCTTTCTTCTCATCCTAAATCTTCAATTGTCAACCTCAAACTGCTGCCTTACAGGTTCTGAGAAGGTAACCTAACTGGTAGTTTAGGGAAGTAAAGTTCAAATCCAGGGAGGAAATAAGAAGCAGAAGCAGAATTAGAAGAAAGACGAAATAAAAGGACAGAATCAAGGTAGAGATAATGAAGAAACAAAGCTTGGTCCACTGAGGTAGTCTTTTGTCGCTGGTTTTTTGGGCAACAGAGTAATGATCGATCTCATAATCATTATAATACTATTATTTGTCTGCTCGAAGATATATAAAGCATTGGAAGGAAAAGTGATATAAAAAGATTAATAATGCTTGCAGTCAATGTTTCATTGTTTGGGAGAATCCAATTTCCTAAGTCAGTATACTATGATGTATTAGCTGTGTAAGGAGTAGACTAGTTTAAGGAAATATTGACGGTACAAATATTAACATATTAGTCTTTTGATGAAGTCAAATAGTAGACAGATTTCTTTCCTCAATTTTCCCTGGAGACATTAAACTGAAGAGAAAAATCCAGCATTTTCCCCACGTGTTGGGTCTGGGAGTCATTATGACTTTTTCAAAGACAGGAGCTGTGACATGGAATCATCCTTCTTCTCTAGCTGAGATGCCAAGTTAGGTCCAGGCTGAGTCATAAACTTTAGCCCAACAACGAAATCACCCTTCGCATTGACCTTGCCGAGCTTTGGCTGTTCTCTGTTCTTTGCCCAACACCCGAGACACACACCAACTCTGGCCAACAAACCTTAACATATTATCTATATCAACCAGAGCTACATTTATTCCCAAATCTCCTTCTAAAATACAAACCTGTACTTTCTACTCTCAACTTCTACATTTACAAAGGCCTCATATGCATCTCAGAGTCACAGATGGTAAAACTCAACACACCAGTCAGTTCTCTGTCAAAAAACTGACAAAAAGCTGCACTCCCGGTCAGGCACACTGGCCCATGCCTGTAATACTAGCACTCTGGGAGGTCAAGGCGGACGGATCACGAGGTCAGGAGATTGAGACCATCATGACTAACACGGTGAAACCTCATCTCTACTAAAACTACAACAACAACAAAAAATTAGCTGAGTGTGGTGGCACCCGCCTGTAGTCCCAGCTATTCAGGAGGCTGAGGCAGGAGAATCGCTTGAACCCAGGAGGTGGAGGTTGCAGTGAGCTGAGATCACACCATTGCACTCCAGCCTGGTCAAAGAGCAAGACTCCATCTCAAAATAAACAAACAGACAAACAAAAACAAACAAACAACAACAAAAAAAAAACCTGGACTCCCTACAGCCAGTGGAGTATGCACCATTCACTTGCCACACTGTATGCTGAGTGACCCTTCCACAGCTTCAATCTGCACATAACTTCAGCCTGAAACCATGTAATGTCCCTTTATTTCTTCAGTACAATGATTAATACCTTATTATCTGTACCCTGCTTCCCTCTATGCTCATCATTCTGATAGCTCTTGCCAATACTCAAATCCAGGAGCAGCAAACCACTTGACATGTCACAAACTTTTCACAGGTTCACGCCAGTGGATTCTCCAGTGAACCAGCTCTCTTAACTCAGGCTTCCATAACAAAATACCACAGACTGGATGGCTTAAACACGAGGAATTTCTTTCTCATAGTTTGAGAGGCTGAGAAGTCCAAGACCAAACTGCCAGCCCATTCAGTTCCCCGGTGAGGGCTTTCTCCTTGGCTTGCAGACTGCTACCTTCTCCTTCTGTGCTCACGTGGTGGAGAGAGAGAGAGAGAGAGAGCGCTTTGGTTGTTCATCTACTACTTAGAATGACACTGATCTCATCATGGAGATCCCATGGTCATGACCTCATCTAAACCTGATTACCTCCCAAAGGCCCTACCTCCAAAATACCTTCACATTGGGGGTTAAGTCTTCAATATATAATTTGAAGGGGACACAAACATCCATTCCATTACACTAGGACCTGCCTTTGCAATCCAGCCTCTGGGCCAGGCTTAGCAGTGGAGAGCCCAAGGCTTCAATTGACAGGATTTTTATGCTGTCAGGCTCTGGCTCCTTGGCTCTGGAAGCTTCTAGAAGCAGTAGGGTGATACATCTTTTAGCAACTATAAAGGTGTAAAACACACGGTGGGTAAGAGTGCCCTATTAAGTATTTTGGTGATGCCCCCATTAGTGTGCTTGGCTCAACCTATTAATAGGAAGTAGTGATTGGCATCCACCTCAGTACCACCCCCTGAAGTCATCCTGTCAGTTTCCATTCCATTCTCCTACCCTTGGTTTGCTCGTTCAATAGTCTTAAGTGATGTACTCCTGGGGCTCTCCTTTTTCCTTCAGAGATATCTTGTGATTTCTTTGATTCTCTCCACCTTTACAGGTTAATAAGTCTAATTTAAAAAAAATGTGTAGATGGATGTTGGGAAGCTGTTGGGAAGCTGTGGGGAGAACCCTTGGGCTTTTTGCCCGGGTAAAGTGCAGATTCCTGAGGATTCTGGGCCTTGGTCTCCAGCTGCACTAGTGCTGGCCACTTAGCTGCTCTCAGCAGCGTCACCTGGCGCAATGGTGCTGAAGCGCACTGCGGAGAGGCCAGAAGGCAAAGCGAGAGCCGGTGGCTATGGCCTGGAACCCATTTAGGCAAAATTGAGGGCGCGCGGGGACAAAGCAATAGAGAAGGGTGGGCAATACAGGATCTGTACACCACGTAT